TTATATCTAAATTTTTTATTTTGCAAATTTTATATTTTGTTTATTTAAAATATATTTACAAGTAATATAGATCATTTTTTCTTTCCCCTTTTAAGTTTTTTTGCATGTCTATGGGCTTTATGATGCAATTTTTTCTTTTCCTCAATAATTTCCTTATATTTACGTTTATTGTATTTAGAAAACTGAGCATCAGCCATAAGTTCATCTACAATTGTTCTCTTACGTTCTTTGTTTGTAAGACGTCCAGAATAATAATCCAAAGGTGAATCAATAACTTTACCAATTTGAAAGTATTTTGGTAGTGCCTTAAGATCATTCTTTTTATAGAAATGTTTTGGATCTAATACTGATCTCATTCTTATAACTTGAAGATCATGTTTAACTTCTGGTGTTAACTCAGGAGCACCCATATTGAACCAATTCTTGCCTTTAGTTTTAGCACGTTCCTTACGTCTCTGCTCTTGCAGTAGTTTCTTCTTCACTTCATAAGGAGGAACAGCTTGTAATTGTTCAAATCCAGGTGTTATAACACTTTTTTTAAGTATCTTATCTACTGCAGTCAATTTTTGTTTTAAAGGATTTAAATCTGGAGCGGCTATATTTTTTATCCATCTTCCACTTGACCAACCCATTTCTTTTTCAAATTCTTCGAGATCGATATCTTTAGACACATTATGGATTGTTTTTTTTGTTGAAATTTCATTTTCAAGTAGATCTACCTCTATATCAAAGAAATTTGGTGTCTCTGTATCTGTTGAATTAAAAACAAGTACAAAAATCTCGTTGGTAATTTGTCAAATATTTCTAACCTCAATAAACATCACAATAGAATACCATTATCTTCGAAATTTATATCATCTTCGTCACTGTCTAAATGATCTTTTGTCGCCAAATTTTCATCGCCTCTCGTATCAATTATTATATCCATTATTAAAATTAATTACAATTGCTTTCCTATTCGATAGCTCTCACGCGTGACGGTTATACCTATGTTTCGCATCACATTTCAGACCGAATAAACGACAGTTCATCCGTATTTTTCCCTTAAGAAAGAAAAAGAGGGAATGATGTACCTAAAAACGTAATATAAAACGTTTACAGATGTCGCGCATGCCCAGTGTCAAATATAAACCGCAACATGATTAATTTGAAAGTATTTATTGTGTTTAGTAATTTTTCTCATTTTTCATTAGGATCATTTTTACAACGTGACAAATTAACAAAACGAGTGAATAAACATTTATTGGGAAAGAATTTCCATATTTGTCAAATGTCCAACAATTGTTATAGTTCGTGTTCTATAAGGAAATACGTAGTTGCATAGTAACAGATACGTACAGGAAGTAGTTAGAGCATGTTGGGACCGGTTTTGCTTTAATAGATGAGACTTTCTTCAGTAGCTCGATTATTATAGCAAGTCACGTAACATTAACAAAATAAACCTTGAAATTCAATGGTATAAATGTCGAGAAAAAACCGAAAAACAAAGAGTATGATTTGTTCAAGATTAATAACCCAAAAATGATCGTTGCAGGAAATGTATACCAGATAAAATTTGCATAAAATGAAAGGTAAAAGTTTAAAAAGATTTCCTGAAAAGGGAGAAAGCGAATTTTCGTATTATAACCTGATTATAAACACGTTTTTAATGCGAAGCTATTCAATGGTTCTTACGCAAGAAGTTGTTTGAATAGAACATGAGAACAAAACATTGTATTTATATCACGTGGAATCGAAGGGACTCTAATTTTTTACATAACAATGTACCATTCCATATACAAAAAGAAAATGCAAAACGGTTGGAGTATCGGGTGTTAAACAACGCGACTTATGTCGGAAGTCTTATGCTGTATTGACTGCTAAACGAGCAATTCTCGATTACTTTCAATGTTTACTCGTCTCGTGCAAAAATAGCAAACATCGAGAGGCTTTTATATTTTATTATGGTTAATAACGATATGTTTTAACAGTGTATCATGTGAAACTATTAAATTAACTGTTTTACATTCCTGGCAAAGAATGCATTATTCTAAAATCATGTAACACACAGTATCCAATTATATGAGTGTTGTATTAGTAATAATCTACCAGTAAGAGATATCGTAATCCACTTTCTCCATAATGATTTTCGAGCAATTGACGAGATGTTCTGTTTAGTAATGAAATACCTCGTGATTAAATAATCAATACGTTTCTTAGCCCCTATAATTACAGACGATTGCATTAATGTCGTTAATCCTCTCCTTTTTCGTAATATTAAGTATAGCGTATGGATTATACGGAGATACGCTCAGTCCATTCTTATCCGCAATATGCAACGCATTATTACATTTTGGGTGGATAATATCTACAGCCTTTAGTTGCTTGCGTTAGCGGATATAGAGATTCGTAGGAAATGTTATTAAAATTTTTGAAATTATTTTGAACATTTATTGCATTTTTAGCTGTAATAAATAAAGCAATGTCTTGCAAGAGTTTGTACCCTTTTTCGAGGTTAACTTATTGCGCGTATTTGGTACACCCTGCTATCATACGAACAGTGGTATTACACAGAGAGATTTTCATGCATTTTAATTAAGAATTTATAGTATTAAAATTCTTTATAATTTATTTTTAATCGAGGCAAACAATTTGAATTTTCCAAGTTCCGTTACCGATCGGGTAAACTCACTTCATTACTCAATACTCCGTTAGATCTCGACTCTCTCGACTGTAGGCCATCTCCCCTCCCATTTCCTTCAGTACATTCCCCTTCCTGAATTTATCACTCCCCTACCTCTTACTACTTTTCATTTCTTTCCTCCCCTTTCACTCCTTTCTGAAGGAGAAAGCGTTCCCTGCCTCGAACAAAGACAAAATTTAGCGGTATACCTTTAACTGCTATTATTTATCCGTAGAAAACACTGAAAACGTTTTACCAAGGTTTTAATGCTATTTTATAGGTTATAATGTTGTTTGGATTTACGGTGACATCCTTCATCAGCTTGCTGTTCGAGACTACTATATTGTCCTTCCTAACAATAACAGTTCATCCCATGACAGCAAAAAAAAAAAAGACGAAAAAATAGAATAGTATTTATGTTCTTACATTTGATTCATTAATTAACAATACAATTGAGAAGATATTTTTGTAATATATAAGAAAAATAAAAGAGTCTGTTTTATTACTCTATTTTCATATTAATATCGAATCCACTATCCGTGATTACGAAACAGCGACAATATTATATAAGAAACTTGGAAAAAAAGCGAGACTTACTTACGCTTGTTGAGCATGCTTATCTTAAAACGTAGAAAAACGACCGTGAGTACTTCCTGAACAGACAACTCATTCTTCCAGTTGAAATTTCACTGGCTTAATATAAGGTAGATTATATTCATTCTGTAAGTGATTATCTCCCATAAATATTCAATGTATTCCTTCTTATTTAGAGTCGTGTGTTCAACACGAAAGGGTCCATGGCCTTGAATTATCTTCATCGTTTAAAATATAATCGATATATTAGGAGCAACAGACAGGAGATTACCTGTATATATTTTCTCGAAGGTAAAGGATTGTGTAATGAGAGAAGGATGATCGATAAAAGAAAAAAAAAAACCGTTTGAAAAGGAAGGTCAACTACGGAAAGGCCAACTGTGGTCCTTCAACTGTACTATGAATTGAAATTTCATTTCTCAATTTCACAGATCTTCGATAATCACACGTTTTCAATAGAAATTTGTTCCTTCGAAGAAAAACATCAGACGAAATTCGGTTTGCTTTGACCAGTTTCACTTTCCGTTTACATCATTGAGCAAATATGCGACACGAACGAAAGAGAAATCCCGAATTAAAATATCCATATCGTGATCAGAAAAATAAAAAAAAAAAATATTCAGAATAGCCACATGTGTTTCATAAAAAACAAGGCTTTATTCAGGACTCTATCGAGATCCACTTTTATTACACAAACTTCAAAAGAGGTTCAGAAAAAGAGCAACGAACACGTGAATAGCATTGCAACAACATAACACAGTGTTAGTACGCTTTAAAGAAAACAAGCAACTGCACTTCGTAACTGCAGCGTATATACATTATATCTAATTTTCAACGCGGCTCGCGTTTTAATAGCGCGTGCTACGAATGCGATTCACAATTAAAGTTCATGTTAATGACTTTCTCAGTGTTGGTTATTAAAATTTTTAAATTGCACGGGATGATGGTAAAACTCTGCAATGATGAGAAAAGCTAAAAAAAAAAGAAAAGAAAACGAATTTCAGCACGACTGAACAGCACGAATGACAACGTTTGACGAAAGTTTTACATAGGAGAAAGGGAAGCACTCCTCTAATAATATGAAATTTCTCAGTGAAACCACTGAAATAATCTTTGTCGTCGGTTTCGGAGGAACTCATGCAAAACTTCGTTGAAAACGTTGCAAGTCATTGGCCGCGGATAATTTCTTTCAATTAATCAATTAATTTAATGCATACAGTAATCCTGTGCCAACCTTGGTTCATTAAAGTTTCTCGTACACCTACTTAAGATCCATTATGCGCATAGATCAAGCGTCCAATTAAGTTGTCTATTATTTGAAATGTTCGGTAGTTCATTTTTTTCTACCTGACATATTGCATTAACATAAAGAAAGAAAAGAGAGAAGCTAACTTTTAAGCATGGAACACCAAAATATCCAACGTAAAAAAACCACTGGAGGAGTGGCTGGTACAAAGATTAGTCGCTGTTTAAACATCCTTGTCCGTTCAGTTTTATAAATCCGCTTTTACGTAAGCTTTCTAATTTTAATGACTTAAATCTGACTTCCTTCCGTGTTCTTTTTTTTTTTCGACTAACTACCAAACCAAGAGATAATGTTCAAGGGTTCACCATTGTTCAATAATCTTTTCAACCTTTGTCATACGTTATCAAGTTTATCATCTTCCTCGCAGATATTTTGTTATTCAAAATACAAGTTTTTGTCGTGACCACATTCCCATGCATGTTTAAACTGAGAAACAGAGAAGCAGGTACAAAAACGTTTCAGCAATTCCTATAAAGAAACACAGCTTGGCTGTTTTGAAAGAGGGGAACTATATGTTTCTCTAGCTCTCCCGTTTCGTCAACGGATACGAAATTATGCTAACTACGAGCAGCCTTAAACAAGCCGCGTATCGGGCTAAAGTGTCCGCCACTGGCGCTCACTTTTCAATATGGGGAGGTTTCTCCCCACCATTTCCTCGCACTTTCATTACTACCAAGATATTCATCCGGCCAAGTCATTTTTCTACCATTGCCAGCCTCGTCGTTCTAGCTGATTCTTGGCCATCAAATAAGGAGGAACCGCAGGAAAGAGAGGACGCTAGTTTCAGTCGTCTACGGATAGTTAAAGGTCGTCAAAGTGGTTTTATATACATCAGTACCAGCGCTCGCTCGCTCTCTCTCTCTCTCTCTCTCTCTTTCTTTCTTTATTTCTTTCTCTCCTTCTCTCTTTCTCTTTGCTTTCTCGAAAGTATGTTAACGAGAACGGCAGCACTACGACTCGAAATTCTCTGGAAGAACCCGAAAACTCGACTGCAAAGGTCCACGTGACTCTCAGAGGAAGAGAAGGATTCGAAACCTTGTGAAGAAGAAAACCAGTAACCTGGAACAGTGAAAAAGCTTCGTTTTATTCCAATCGAGGAAATCGGTCGTTCACTGTGATTCGAAGTATTTTTTTTTTGTTTTTTTTTTTGTTACTGTGATATTGTACGATTTGATAAAACTTTTAAATAACGTTCAATGTGTGTTTGATATCTATCGGAAATATGGTTACATTGTTAAGAAGACTGATCATGAATAGTTGAGATTAACTGGATCTCCCTCTGAACTTCTTCATTGCTCTAGTGTTTGGTGTAAAAGCAATTTAAGTAACAATGAACCAGACGTGGTATCAAGTCGTTCTTCTCGCATGCTTCGCGGTCTGCGGAGTGACATCTACTTCCAATGTCTCAGAGAATGCTACTCAGGATCTATTAACGAATAATCGAGTGAGGACTTTAACAGACATGGATAATACTCTGGATAGAAACTGGACCACCTTGTCAAATGTATTAGACATCTTCAACGTGCGTCATCTTGCGAATAATTGGACCGAAGCAAAGTATCCCATCGAGGAAGAGTGTGCGAAAGACATCACTAGGTACATCGAAGGTTTGAAGAGGCACGAAGGATGGGCTCTGAAAGGTATGTTGAACCAGTTAAAATTTATGCAGAAAACTGTCTTCCACTCGGTAGTTGCTTTCTGTTCAAATATTTAACGATCAATTATTCATTCGAAACTAACCATGCGCAAACATTTCCCTCTTTTTATCTTCGCCCGTTTACACGTGAAGACAACGGTACATCCTGCGATACGAGCAAAAATATATTGTACCAATAGAAAGTGTAGAGATATACATGTGTAATTGCCAGACCTACTTTGAATTATCACGGCTGGTGATTTCGTTGGACTTTAACAGAAATGAATTCTGACCAGAGATGAAGAGACAGAAATCAACTTGAACGTGAAAAAAGAAAAGAAAGAAAGAAAAAAAGAATTCGATGAATTAAAACGAGATTCGTAAAAAGGGCCAGCTTCGTTTCAGGATTTAGTAGATTTTTTATAAAAAAAGAAGGATAAAAATAATCATAGGTGTTGAACTGATTGTGAAGATTCAAGAAGCTTAATTCACTTTCATCAGGAAGGAAATAGAGAGTTGATAAGGTCATCAGTCGTCAGTGGACTGCCAGAAACGTTCTCGCTAAATCATCTCTGTCTTCCTCCCGTCACCAGTTCCTCCTTTGCCTACTTTCATCGTGAAATTTCACTTTTCGCGACACAAAAGAGCAACTGGGCGGCTTCCACAAGCGGCGCAGCTCGCTACGACAACGAATCGCTTTCAATGTTTTACTGTTTTCCTCGGTCAATGCCACTTTTCGCAAGAGGCTTCGGCTGTTCCACCTTTTCGAAAGTTCCAATGTTGCCTTTCATTGTCTCTCTCGTTTAACGACCGAGTAAAAGAACAGTATACGACCAATTGTCTTGTAATATCCAGTCGCCATTATGGGTAGAAACGATGGTCCTGCAAATGATGATCCAGATAATTTAATTACAAACTTTGTTTCATCTTAAAAGATTATCGAAATTCGAATTATTCATAGAATTTCAGTGACAAACTTACTTTTCTCTTATTTCATTCAACAGCGTTTTTAATTAACTCCTGGCCAATAATACTTTTTTTTTAAATCAATTACACCTCGAACGTATCTATTTTCATCGACAGATAACTGATATCAGCGCATAGACAATGAGATTTTTGTTGAAATTTTCTCAGAGCAGGATACATAGTGAGACTTTGCATCGATTGCAACACGTCGACGAAGAATGTCAGTCGACATACCAAGTTCTACGCAATATCTAAGAATAGTATATATGCTTTCTTTGTATTATCTGCTACCGCTACACCTTTCGGATCCTTTTTTCGAACACTATACCTTCAGATGGTAAGTGAAAGGGTTAAGTGTGTCACGGTTATCCCTTTTGATTACATGCGTCGTAGAAGAGGAAAGAAAAGAAGTGGATAGAGATAAAATCGTGACGACATGACCAATCATATAGTTTCTGCGGCATGAAATTGTGGCTGTTTTTTATTGCTTCTTTATAACGTTTAACTAGAAGGTGTTTCTGCCGTAAATTATGCGACACGTTTGATTAGGTATTAAGTACAAAGAGTAAAAAGAAAAAAAAATAGAAGAAAATGATAGAAAAGTTACCGATGCGTAAAGTAAGAGGTCGGATTAGATGGAAACGCGGTCGAGAAGCGGAGAAAGACAGACCAGCAGCTTTCCGCGGCTGGATATTTAATTTTACGAATGACCGATGGAAACCGGTAGTCGTACATTGCACCATTGAATTTTTAGCCAGGAAAATCAAAGAGATCGTGAAATTGGCTAAATATTACCATCTCTCTCGATCCGAAATTTGTCTCGATCTTTTACCAAAAGACTTCTTCGAATAACCTTAAAGCAGATATAATTAAATATTTTATCGATTACTTCTTTATTTATTTATTTATTTATTTTTTATTTTTTTGAAAGTCACGACAACAACAAGTCGATGACGAAATAATCGTGTCCATAAACCATAGAATGTACCTAAAGAGGAACAAACTACTTTTTGCACGTTACTCTCGACATACATATCTCGTTACAAGGAAGAAGTTCACCACGGACGTGCTGAGAACGAACAGCGCCAGATGACTCGAGAAAGAAAGTTCGTTTCAATAGCTTCCATTTCAGAGGCCGCGGCGTTTCCATGAAATTTTCGCCGCTAAGAGGGAAAAAAACGAATCGCGTTCGAAACAACGGTATTTACGGATGTGTTTCTTTTCTCTTTCAAAATTGTCGGATAGTAGAAAGTTTCCACCTTTTATTATACTTACTCCAATTTCATACGACAGAACGAAAGTAAAATTTCGTTTAGGCTCTATTATCCCGCATAACGGCCATTATCTCCGGTGTGAATTCTGCTCTCCCCAATTTCCAAGCCGCATAGGAAAAGTCCATCAAGCGAATTTCATGGCTTTCTCCTTTTTCGCGGTGCTCTATTATCATCGTAGGAAGTTCAAATTCGTACAATTGCACGGGGAAAGGTGAAAGGTGCCGCTAGGAGGAAACGACATTAGGTACGTTACCGTTATGACATTTGAAATGCTATTCACAGTGGTATACACCTATCGTGAGAAGGGAGCACTTGACTTTCGGTTCTGCTCAATCGTCACTTCCGGGTTCTTGGCCTGACCATATTTCATTTAATGTTCTGCATATATAAAATCAGTTCACAAAACCATTTAAAAATGGTACGAACAAAAGGCAAATAAAAATCATGAATTTAGGATAACCTCAACATATCCATGGACCAATATATTGTATATATTTCTTTGAAATAGAAAGAATTATTTTTCAATTTTTATAATAAAAAATTAAAGCAGAAATGACATTTAAATGTAGAAAATGTATTTAAAAAATGTGCTCTAAAAGCCAGCTGGAAAACTCTCCAACGAAAGTTAAATGAAAATGGCGATGAAACTCTATAAAATAATGAACGATTATCATGGTCGATGCACCGTCACGCTGCTTAATTTCGCGACAAGCTTATGGATGGGACTTCCGTGAGCATCCTTCGCGAACCGCGCAAAAGTAACGTTAGAAAGTTTTAAGGAAGACGCGTGCACGAAGAAACACGGTCGAAGTAGAAACCGCGGCAATTATCGAAATTACGTCACGATGGATATAAAAACCGGCCGGAGAAAGGATTACGTGGAAGCGGGGCTTGCGAACGCAACTTTCACGTAACGCGCGTCAGACTTTTCTTCGATCGGTCTCAATCCTTTACGTATCATACCTTTTTTTCCTTCTCTTTTTCATAAACGGGGTATATAACCGTGATATAACAGGGATATCGTTCTTAGAGAAGCCTCGTCTCTTCGTTCGTCGCTTCCTAGTTCGTGGAACACGATCTGTCGATATTTTTATAGGCACCGTTATCGTACGGCTTATAACGTGAAGTTTAGATCACGGTATATACACATGTGTAAGGTCCTTTCTCGCATCTGATTAATGTTTCGAACACCGTGGATTATGTAAGCAGATATTCCCTTGCGTACTTTCTATGTGTTTCCCCTCTAAACAGGTTTGCCTTCCACGGCGAATCACGTACCAGCATGTTGAACATGCCAGCCACATGCCTACTTTATCTACTGCTCGTAAATTGTCTCGGACCTCGACTCGAAAATTGTTCGAAATGAAGTCAGTACAATATGTATGTACAGAGATGTGTAGCCAATTTCTGTACGTTCTGTCAGACACGTTGGCTTATGTCTTCTTGAAAAGCGTATGAAAAGTAGAAAGTACCGGCATTCGTGAGTTGTGCAACCGCCTAAATAAATGCGTGTTGTATCGTACGCTGCAGTCTTTCAATTAACGAGCTGCCTTCTGGATTCGATAAATCAAGGGAAATGCATGCGTTCAGCACAGTTCAACATGTAGAATTTCTTGCATGCAAACAATGAATTCTGAGGTTTACGAGACACGTGTAAAATTGTTAAAAATCAAGATAATCTCGAGGTAATCTTTTATAATAGCTTAAAGGCGTGTTTGAATTAATTCCACTTGCTAAATCGATCTATCAATCGTGCAGCGCAAGTGAATGTGACTGGTAGACGTTTTCGTTGACTGATCGCTGATTATAGGCTGGCTTTGAAACACAGATTGCTAAATAAAATCGCCACGATGCTAGAGAACAATGTGTTAGGCGTGACACGCGTTTCACTTTCTGCCCGGACGCGTTATAATTTTATTCTGGGACCGCGTAATGCTGCGTGATGCAATCAATCAATCAATCAATCCAATACATCCCCAAGTCACCGATGCACCGACTTCTTTCTGAATCATCCTTCTGCCATATCTAATAATACACCTTGGTTAACGAGGAAAAAATTGTAGAGTCGTATACGTTACAAGGATCATTTAGAAACGATGTTTTTTTACGTGACATTATAATTAATGGAAATAAATTTACATCGACATGTTCGAATCTTGAAAGACACGTGGATGGAACGTTCTCAATGTGATCCACGCGTAAAAGTCAAGCACGTCCAACTATAGGGACATTAATATTGCAACACGATGAACTATACCGAGGAGAGCCTTTCTCTTTCCAAATTACTTTCCCCAGCTGGTTGTCCGGAACGTGCTAAATAGCACGTACAATCGGTCGGAAGTAAGTAGCGGATCATATTGTCATGGTCATTCAATTAAATATCCAATTAAAATCTCCTTAATGACAGTAAGTAAAAAATATATTTCAAAAACTTAATAAAAAATTCTACAATGTAATAATTAATATGGACTTTCGAGAAATGAAATTCATTGTAGAACGAAGTTTATTAAATACAAATACATATATCCTAACGACTGACAATGTGGTAAGAAACGAAACGCAATGGGAATTTCAACGATGGATCAGCAATGACGGTTATGCACTTCACGCGGTTGCACGTGGAATTTCGTTGCACCTGTCGATCGACGAACGAAGAGTACACGCAGCGAACTGAAACCAAGTTTTTTCAGGAACGTTCATTGCGATAGAACCCTTGAACTTTGTCAGGAAAGCCTCGACCATGAGCGCAATGCTAGAAGCGAGAGACCGTCTTGTAAACCGGTTGTGTTCCCTGCACGGAAACTTATCGAATTCGTGTTTCCTGTGAAAAATCCTTTTTCACCAAAAAATAAAACAGAAAAAAAGAAAAATAAAAGACTAGACTTATCATCTCTAGTATTCTTGACTTCGATAAATCATCAAATAGAATAATTTTAAAGTGAATGCAAATAAAAGGATCTCTTTCGAAGTTTTTTACTCTCTTTCATATCCATTCGAGTGATCGAATCACGATAGCGTGTAATAAAGACACGGTATTCATGAATGAAACCTCGTGGGAATGGACAAGATTGCCTCGGTGCGTTCACGTTTCATTCTTACACGAATCAACGAGGATCACGTGCAAAGATTGAACTTGACTTTGGTTGTTCAATGACTGGATTATGTCAGGGATCATTGCACGCACGTAAAATCCATTGTTATTCTAATTTCTTTCGCGATTACGACTACATCTTGTGTTGGCTTTGTGCGAACGGAATCGATAATAAGACTCCTCCACGTTTATCGAGATCATGGATTAGGCAATGCCCATAAAAGTCTGGCTAGTCAAACCAAATAAAACATGTTCAAGGTCAAGATCTACCTTCTAGTTAGAATTCGTCAATTTGAAACAATTTTAACTATTCTAAAATGAAGAGAAAATAGATGAGATGATATATAGATGAGATGAGATATAGATATAGACGATATAGATGAGAAAAAGAAAAGTTTCAGTGGAAATGTTCTGTCGATGAAACAGTAAACTGAGGAAAATCATTGCGAAACATTTCTACAGGGGAAACCTGTATCAATCATGTTTCTGCATGAAACAATGACGTCGCAATTTATGGAGTAACCGCAATTTATGGTTGACGTAACGAAACCATGATGAAGCATGTGGAAATGAGCTGAACACTACCACAACCACGACGATGACGGCGACCATGATGATGATGATGATGATGATGATGACGATGATGATGATTAGATAATATTACTTTCTTCTCGGAGAGAAAGTCTTATTAGAGAACCGTTCAATCCCTGATAGCTGTCGTAATCTTTGATAATGAAAATTGCGTGTTAGCATCGACGTCTGCGTTCAATTATGAAACTGCAAACGAACGTGGTGCAACTAGAATCAACTTTACGACATCTATCAAACGATGTCTGCATTATCTAGTATTAAAAATGAATGAAACTTGTATTGCATAAATGAAAAATGATCCGCGTGGACAGCATAGACGTCGAAGATTCGAGTATTTTGTTGGATTTTAGTCGTTCTTGCAACGACTAACCTACATGAATCCTTGAAACGTTTCAATCAGAATTTCATCCGAACTGATCCGGAAATGGTCACTGGTCGAACGGAGAGAAAGTGTCTTGAGTGACTTCTCAAAGTAGGTCATCGGTTACGACTTAACAAGTCATCCTATAATGAAAACGAGCATGCGAACCTGTTTCATCACGCCATCGCAAAGTTGATTTACCGATCTCGAACGGTTACACGAAATTCTTCTTGTTCCACAGCTGACGACGCTTCAGGCAGATACACCAACAGCTTCTTCTGGGGAAACTCCTATTATGTAGGATCGTCCACCGAATGTGCCTATATCGACGAAGATTATGGGAGGAATATGAAAAATGTTCGACGAGATGCGTCGTCGATGGAAGAAGTGGAGGAATTCAACACTGAGCCACAAAAAAAGAACAGTGGACTCAGTGGGAACAATCTATGGACTGGAATCAGATTGAACAAACCACCATATAAATTAGGATTTTATATGATGACCATTTCGATGAATACTACTCTGTCTCCAGTGGTAAATTATTTCAATCTTTCAAATATACCTAGAGAATTTTGCTATTTGCAATCTTTAATTATTATCATTGTAATGTTAATTACAGACGAGAACCATTTATCTGGGAATTTGTCTGCCCTTCTCATGCTCTGCTTCTGATGTCTCCGTAATAGCAAAGCTTGCAGCTAGTGAGGAAGCGGCAAAACATTCGTCAATAGAAAAGATACGAGATCAGCATGACATGTATAATATGTACGAGGATCCAGTATTCTGGATTCTATTGTATGTTTCATTGTATATTTCTAAGTGATGCATTAAATTACAAGGCAAATTGGAATTAAAGTATGGTATATGTTTCAGTGGTGTGACTGGTGGCGTCCTGATTTTGATGGTAATCGGTACCGGGTACGATCTCTATGTAACGAGAAAATATACTCGTGGAAGGAACGTGATGTACGATTTAGAAAGGCACGCAAAACTCGAACAGCTAGCCGCCCAAAATCAAAAGTCTCTAAGTGGTAAGATGGTCGATCTTGTTACATGAATTCTCTTGCTTAAAGTGTCCTTCCTGTAATGATCCTTCCTTGGACACGGCTCGAGGTTCAACATAGTGCCGTTTCGTTCGTTTCCTTGAGTACAAAAAGGGTGACTAACATTTACAGACTAGCACAGGACAAAGGACAGTATCAGAGACAATGATACACTTTTATTATTATATTCCGTAGCTTTTCAAGGTAAGGTCTACCTTCCTGTTCCAGCGGCAGAAGCTATCATCAACGGAGCTCAGTCGTTAGCTGTAGTTAATAACAACAACGATCATGAAGGTAGTCCTCGTTCAGCTAGTCCGGAAATACACAAATTCAGTAAGTGATCGTTAATAAAGGGAAATTATTGGTGAGTAACCATGGGAACAATGGAAGAAAATGAATCGTTATTATGTTGTTCGTAGGTGTCTTCGAGGAATTGTTGCTTTCGTTCTCAGTTCGAACCAACGTAAAGATCATCTGCGACGACAAAGTCGGTGGAGATACTATCAGCACTATTCATGGCCTCAGAGCGATTTCGATGGCCTGGGTTATCCTTGGTCATACCTGTATCACCGCTTTCAAGTATTCCGATAATATGGAATATCGAAAGGTCGTGGAAAAGAAGTTCCTTTTCCAAACTGTCACGAACGGAGCTTTCAGCGTCGACACGTTCTTTTTCATGGGAGGCTTACTCGTCAGCTTCCTGTACTTCAGAACGAACGCAAAAGGAGACTTAAACAAACTCACTCAGGGTACGCGAGGTGTGGTTGCTGGTGGTCTGAAATTTATCGGTCTTCTTGGATATCGATTTTGTAGACTCACGGCTCCCTATATGTTTGTACTGGGAGTGGTTCAAATTGCAATGAAATGGTTCCATTCGAATTCTGTATTTGAACCACCAACTGCTGATCATTATAATTGTCCTAATTATTGGTGGAGGAATTTACTGTATATCAATACATTGTTTCCGGTCGATCAAATGGTAAGTTTTCCGGTAATTTTAAAGAACTCTCAATCCAAACAACAAAATGGTATATTTAATATTGTATGATACGATCAGAATTAGTAATTATTCTTTTTCATTTATTTCTTTTTGAAGTGTATGATTTGGAGCTGGTATGTCGCAGATGATACTCAATTCTATATCGTCGGTGCTGTGATATTGGTTTTAGCAACGAATCACTTCAAAATCGCAACATTCGCGACGATTGCTTTGCTTTTTAGTTCCTGGTTAACGACGGGATATATTGCTCTAGTGAATAATCACATGCCAAGCTCCGACGACCCGTTGGCACTCTTTGACAAAATCTACGATAAACCATGGACCAGATTAGGTCCTTACCTAATAGGCATGTCGATGGGATATTACCTGTTCAGGGTTGATTGTAAAATAAAAATGTCCAAGGTAAATAGAAATTGATGTCCTTGAAACAGGCACGAAACAGTAATTCTATCTTAAATTATAACATGATCACTTTTAGACAACCATCTGCGTGGGTTGGCTCCTTTCTTCTGCGTGTCTTTTGAGTTTGTTGTACGGTTTATACGAAGCAGAACTCAGCCCTATAATGGCAGCTGCTTACTCCTCTTTAAGTCACAGTATTTGGGCACTTGGTTTATCGTGGATCGTAATTGCGTGCAGTACAGGATACGGAGGTAATTACTTTTCAATAATAATTATTTTTGATTGAAATTTTAATTTTGATCATTTATAGGATACGTAAACAGTATTCTGTCCGCACCAATTCTGTATCCAGTGAGTAGAACAACATATTGTGCCTACTTGGTACATCCGCTGGTAATCCGATTAACAGCCATGAACTTAGACTCGCCATTTCATTTAGGGAAATATACCATGGTAAGTGAATGTAAAATTTTAGAAAAGACTGTTTCCTATTGGCATTTATGGGTTAGTGTGATTAAAAGATTTACTTTACAGATGATTACTTTCTTTGGACAATTAGTTCTATCCTACTTATTATCGTTCATCATATCGGTATCCTTCGAAGCTCCTATCGTAAGCATGTTAAAGATACTTTCTCCCAAAAAACGGAAACGCATACAATGAAGCAGTGATATACTTGTTATGCATAACATGTCTCGAAAAATTATTTATGTCTTTATTGTATGTAATTAATGTTAAAAATTCATGAATCAGTGAAAAAACATTGACATATTACAAACACTGTGTAAAAGTTGCACGAATTTTTGCGTTAATGCAAACACGTAGTCTTAACTTTACTATGTATTTTTACTTATAAATAAATTATTTGTCTTTGTACATCTGCATTCCTCACCATACAAAAGAATATATCATACTTTATATACTATCACACTTTATTTTTACAATATAAGATACAGAAACAAAAATAAAAATAACTTAACTTATAAACGTTCTACCGCAACATCTGTAACCTGTAGATGTGATCTTCCACTTACAAACTCTGTAAATTTTTCCATTATATATGCAGGAAATATGTTTGGTTCAGCTTCAGTTAACCGTCTTATAACTTCATATTTAGCTTCTTTACATTCTTTAAAGGACTCATTGGTATGTAATAAGAATTCTATAAAACCTAGACGTGTAGATATGTATTCTTGACCCCATACTTGAGATGCCAAAACTTCCAACACCTTTAAACCTGCTTGCCTAATATCTGCAAATTGGTGCGTACATATTGCTACAATCATGCCCAATGGATCATCACCCAGATAATCAAACCATGATTTTGTCAATGATAAAATTCTGTTGTCTTGTTCTACTTTTTGTACATCAAGTATCTGAGCCAAACAATTCAATCCATGAATTTTTACTGCTGGAGGCATTTTTTGTATAACAGCAGCAATTATTGGTAGTATAAGTTGCATTTCATGTCCTAAAGCTTGTAAAGCATATTTACCTTCAACACTCATAGAAATATGTCCCAATGTGTCTAATGCAACACCAAGAATTGTCTCATTCTCAGGAAATTCTATTACTTTGAATAATTCAGAAACTACCACTGGATATTTCGAAAAAATTTCATGAGGCCAATAATGTGCAACATTGCCAAAAAATTTCATTAAACCAGGAATCAGTAAATTTAACAATGGAACTTCATGTTCTATTTTTTGAACTAAACTTCTTAGGACTCCTTGCTGTTCTAAAAATCTCAATCCTTCTTCTGTTAATGCTAACTGTGTCAAAAGCTCTAATGCATTTACTTGAAGCAATACATCTTCACTGTCAAGAATATTGATTAAACTAGTCAAAAATCCTGATTGAGCAGATGCTTCTAGACCTTCTTTTGAAGATTTTGCTACATCCACAACAACTTCATATATACGAAAACTAGTAGTATCATTCTTTACTAATAATCTAGCAAAATTTTGTAACAATTCACCTTTATATAAAATCTGTAGTCCTTTTGAATCATTACCAATTATACACATTATACTCATTGCAGATTTAGCTACTATCAAATCGTCATCTCCAATCCTATTTATGATAGCAACTAATAAACTGACATCTGTGAGCAACAGAAATATCTTCTGGGGATTAGAAACAATGCACAAAATTTCATTCAACGCAAGAGATTTAACTGCAGAAGATGGATGAGTTATCAATTGTGATATCTCTGTGGAATATCTTTGATATACTTCTCCAGCTTTAAAGATGCCAAACAATGTTTTCAGAATGTCACACACCTGATCTACAAATTCTCTGTAAGAGAAAAAAGTAACAAATACTTATTTTTATAGCCATTTTTATTCCATAATATTTTTTCACTACTGTAATGGTTGATATTGCCATGACACATCTAACTAAAATGTAAACTTTCATATGTCACTTTTTGTTAATTTGTTTGAACGCAATTTTTTAAGAATAAAAAGAAATTATCTTAAAATACGATAGCAGTCGTAAAAAATAGTTTCACAAAATCAGTATTGTTGTGATACCTGTTATTGGAGTTTAACTGAGTAAACAACTGACCAAGATCCACATTACGAGAGATTTGTTCGCTTTCCCTATTATTCAAGCTTCCTAATTTGATTTTTACGTCTGATAAAATATTCTTTTTTTCTTCAACGCTATTTAATTCGCCGAGGCGAACAATATTTGCTTGTAACCACTCCGTCATAGTCGACATAATGATATTACTCTTTCGATAGATTACCATAGAGTCAAGCCTTTGAAGTATCAACAAACGAACTACCAACATTAAAATAATAACGCTTTTTTTATTCATAAAGAAATAAATTTTACTAAATGCCAAATTTAACTACAAGCAGTTCCTAGAAATTTTATAAAATAAAATTTTTTTATCGATACTTGAAGTATATTATTCTTTAAAACTATTACGTCTTACTTCAAATCATTAAAGTATCGTACCAATATGATAGAAATATTTTTCTTCTTCTAAATATCATTAATATTTACTAAACAAAGTCATTAACAAATAATAAATCATTAATATCTTATATATTACGAGAACTATACAGTAACGAAAAGAATAAAAATTGTTATCATTTGAAATCATGATCGTCATAAATTATAAGTATTATCACACAGTATCATTTAAGAAGTTCCTATAGAAGATATGAAAATATTTAGAGCTCATGAATGAAAATTAAATTGTACCCAATTTTTACTTTTTTATATTATTTTAAATGTAAAAAGTAATACTTAAATAAACATTAAATGCGTGCCATGCAACAAACATTCACTATTCCAAGTAGAGACGCAAAATGCGGTAAAAAATCATTTGAAAATATTTCAATGAATATTTTGATAAAAAAAAACGAAAATGATTCGTAAAGAATTTGTACAGAAAGAAAATATTATTTTCTATCTTACCAAAAATCTTATTTTGCTAAAATATTTACACTTTTCTAGGGGTCAATGAGCTTTCGTGTTTTATACTTGACTGAAGATCTACACGGATCGCATAACAGCTTCCGTCAGTACGTTTTTGTACGTCACAAGACGTTGTTCTGTATGGTTGTGTTTTAAATTGTTGCTTTTACAATTAACACAAGGTAATCAGGATTGAATGTACATACTGACAATTGTGTCCATTAATAAAGTTTCTTATAACTGTATGAACATTGTAACTGTACAATTTATGAAGCCAAGCATGCACTATTATAATGGCATATCCCATATTTTCATGTTACCTTATCAGGTCATCCAGTGATACCTGTTACTATGTACCATTATACACTGTACATACATGAAATTTAACTTTTTATAAAATATTGTACATACTTGGTCCAGATTTAAGAGGAATATAAATTCATGGACACAAATGTATATAATTAAATGAAATTGTATGTACATTATTCTAAATAAAATTTTAAATACATTTTAGTATTGACTTTATAGTTAACAATTTTGACATTGTACAATTTCTTAAAACAATATTATTGATAATTGCATGCACTATACTTCTACATTTTTTAAATGAATAATTATTATATGACTAGAAGTATGACTAAATTTATACATTTCAATTATTGAAAAACAATTAGTATTTGTATAATGATTTATATATAATACTTTGTAGCATTGTATATTAAGAAATGGCGATGGATTTGGATCGAAATGATCCTGAGGTACGATTATCACAATTTCTATATGTTGGAAAAGAATATCCTGATTATCAACCTGGAAACTGGTTTGTTCATAATTACTTTTTGACTAAAAATGTCCCATCCATTGAAGAGTTAGCTGAGAATACAGACAAACAATTATTACCAATTCAGATTATTACAAAGGTAAAACATTATTATGAATAATAAAAACCACTGTATATACATTATCTAGATTGACGTTCTAAAATAATTGATATTTTCAGGCATTTGAAAGTAATCTTGTTCCACATCCAGAAACACTGGTATTTGCTCTAGCTGTTTGCTGTAGGCAAATGAAAAGTGAAAATTTACGTCAAGCAGCATATGCAGCCTTAAACAAAATTTGTGTATCTCCACAACATTTTATTTTATTTATAAAATTTGCTTCTCAAATAAGTAAACAAAAAGAACTTGATGCAACTGGTACTTCTAAACATGGATGGGGTCAAGGTTTAAGAAAAGCTGTAAATAATTGGTATTTATCAAAAACTCCAATGGAATTAGCAAAGTGTGTTACAAGGTATAAAGGCAGATATGGTTGGAAACATAAAGATATCATAAAATTGTCTCATCCTGTACCCAATAATTCTGGTATTTATTTTATTAAAATGCAATCATCACATAAATATTCATATTGTTAATTAAACAATATACTGTTAAATAGGAGGAGAATTGGTTCTTAAATACATAATGCGTGGTTTGGAAGAAATTAAAAAATTATATGGAGAAGATTCCACACTTACAGAAATTCTAGAATATATTGAACATGTTGAAGATTTTAAACACTGTACAGACGAAATTCGTGCAGCAGGTCTTTTGGAAATGTACAAATTAACATTAGATCATGTACCTGGCCACTTACTGAGATCTAAAGAGGTACAAAAAAATAAGAATTCTTTAAGGTATTTACTGTGATTCATAATTATGAATAATTTATAGGTTTGGAATGCATTAATACCATCAATGAACTTAGTTATGCTTTTGACCAATCTGCAAAGAATTCATAATCTTGAGTTATTGAAACCAAATTCACCAACAATTTCAAAAATAACAGATCAAATACTTAATGAAGAAACTATTGCCAGAGACAAAGTTCATCCAGCTTTAGTATTAGTTACAATAAGAGACTATGAAAATTCTGGAAAGTAAGTAACAATATTTAATAATGCATAGTCTTTTTTAAATTATGAATACTATTTAATATACAACTTTTTAAGGCCACTGACATATGAAAAAAGAAAGATTAAAGAACAGTTTGACAGACCATTGCCAGTTCCACCTAAACCAAATTCTAAAATCATTGATGCTCTCTATAAAATGTTGAATCTTTCATTTATTGTAAGTATCAATATTTTCGTGCAATATTCTTTTGTATTCACATACTAGTTAATATGTTTTATATTTAGCATATTCAACCCACTGGTTTACGTTACATGGTAACAATAAATATGAACAAAGTAATGATAGAAACACATACTTGGCGCAGTGGTAATGTGAATGGTGCAGAAGCAGGGTGCATGATTGCACTTGCACTTCTTCGAAGTGAGAAGAACGTCACCGTTGCAACGTTTAAGAACGTTGGAATTCATACTGTAAATATTGATAAAACGGCTTCTTTTGGTCAGGCTATGAGAAGATTACAACAAATGCCCGTTGGAAACGTAAATTTGGGTAAAGCAATGTCATGGGCTGCTCATCAGAACAATAAATACGATGTATTTATTAACATTGTAGATCAAATATTTGAAAAATCTGATACTTCTGAAGCAGCTCTTCAAGCATATAAAACAAAACTCAAACTTCCAGATACAAAGTAAGTGTTTCTTTAATTACTACATTAATGAAATAGTAATTAACACTATATATTATTTATTTTCAGATTAATAAATTGTGCTGTATGTTCTTCGTCAACCTATCGCAAGGAGAAGAGCGATAAAAGCATTTTGACAATTAATGGTTTTGACGCTAGTGTTCCTGTCGTTATACAGGCTTTTGCAAAATCTCTCTTTTAATTACTGCATGCATAGCAATTCTTTATTTGGCAAGCAGTACTAGCTGATGAATTACTACGCTTTCAAAATGACATTAACTTGATTCTTTAATGGATAAGTCTAAAATAATTTTTATGAGATTGTCAATTAAGAAATATTTCAAAATACTTAGATTACTACAATCAGACTTATAAAAAGTAGTTTTCGTTAATCTAAAAATGCTGCTAGTCTGATACTTATGCAGTAGTCAGACCATACAATAGTTAAACCATGTTCTATGAAGTATTTTAAAATTCGAACTAAAATCATTACGAATATGCAGTCTTTGCGTATTTAGATATTACAGAATCTGATATATAAGGCTCGAACATTTCTTTAATCGAATTTCAGCTATTAGAACAAAAGAGATTATTCTTATTAAATAATAATGTTCGTAATCTACAACATTTTATTCAGAGTTGACATTATATCGACATTACCAATTGACATTACGTAATTAGTGTAGTACAAAACCATACTTGTAAGGCGTTTGAATTTCTTCTCTTTTTATTTAAGTTTGGTGTGATGAAAGAAAATGATTTGGCACTTAATTATTATTCATTACTAACTTCTAAAATTATAATTAAATCATATTAATACTAACACATTAACATTACTAAATATTTACTGCATGTTTTTAGCGTTTAGGGTGAGCTGTGTAACGTTTGATGACAATTTTATTTGTCTTTAGTGAGTGGTCCAATGAATTGTGTAAATATTTGTTTAAATGAATTATACACTGATAAATGAATCAATAATTGACAAGTAAATAAATGTGATACATCTGTGATCAGCTATTTGATTAGATAAATGAAAACGTTTCAAACGCCATGGACCACTTTATATCATTTAGGAACAGGTACATGTTTATTAATTTATCGCTTTCTATTTGATAAAATTAGTTGCACAGCTAAAAAAATTAGGATAAGACTGCATATTAGATACGGAATAAGTATCTAAAATAATCTAAGGTGCATTTTTAACTAATGGTAAAAAGATACTTTTACTTTAATATTGCCTGCTTATTTCCACTGGTTGGCGGTAAAGCTTTCTATAATATCTTCAATAAGATGTATAGATATAATGTGAATTTTAAGATGATACATTTCGAAAACTGGTGCGCTTCTGGAAGTTCGAATAAGAATTTAAAGAGAAAAAAAAAAAAACAGAATGTTGAAAAATTTCCCACTGTGATATGCATTTAGCCCCAAAGAATATAGACTTACATTAGTATAATTTTACTGTTATATTTCATATTTGCCATATCCAAAGTAAATACGACAAATACTAAATACACTACTAATATAATACTGTGATACAAAGTACATTGTTATTGTTCAAACTAGGTGAAAAGATAAGTAAAAGTAAACCAGGGGCGCACCAAGAGTCTGCTTCATTTGTTGATTAGTATCCTATATCTATTAGCACATCAATTTTTGTTAAAAGAAAAAAAAGTACGACAGTATCCAGAGATACCTCTAATTCTATTTTGATCCTTGAATTACCCTCGGGAAGACCTTTGGTATCCAAAGTGAGAAGCAAGCTCTTCTTAAGATATATCGCTAAAAAGTACAGCGTGGATGAATTCTCAGGTCTCACAAACGTTTAAATTAAGTGCTTAAATATTCACGTGTTCTTTGCAGCCTGCTCGGGTAATTCATGGATCGATGACGACTGTACATTATTAATTTTAATACATATAATCCATAAAGTATAGCGTCGTTTTAGTTTCTCGTGCAAGAGAAAACATAATTTGAACGGAATCATGTTCGTGGTAAAGAAATTATCATTGTACCGGAGATTAATTTTCTCCGAATGAAATTCACCCTGTAATCTTTAATCTTAGTTGCGCGACGCCTTATAGAAATCTTGACGAATAAGTTATCAGAAATAATAGTATTTTTAGATAAATTTTTCCTAATCGAAGTTCACGGAGTTCTATAATGCGTTTAAAAAAGCAATTTATACATAATAAGCGGCTAGATTATGTCGTATCTTGAAGTGAATAAGGAGTGAGTTCTTTTCGTGAAACATTATGAAAATAGACAAAAGAATATTTTAATAGTCGCGCATCTAGTTAATATTTATTCATTAAGGGTATATAATAGAACGTATGCTACATCTATATTTGTAGCTTATATTCACGGATATCATATAAAGTAGCTTAATATACATGCTCTTATCCAACGATCGAAGAGAAATCTGTAACTCGGAAAATAATCTTTAATTATGTATTGTCACTGTTATTATAAAACTGCAAGTTTTTATTATGCGTTGCAATTAATCGACTTTAATTAACACAACAACGGTACTAAAACTTACAGCAATCAATACTCTTATATGGGAGCTATTAATCATGAAAAAAATATTTAAAGTTTTTAAGCATTTATGTATTTTGATTTGAACTTAAAATTTCAACGTTTAAATCAATTATTTCTTTTCGATCGTATTGTGTAAACTAGGCATGTTCATTGTCTAACATAAGAATACGTCCAAAATGTTAAAAAGAAGGAAAAAAAAAAATATGAAGATGTAAGAACAGCAAAGGCCACTTAAAAAAAGAAAAACATGTACACCTTCGCTCTTGTCTAAAAATCCACTGATTTCAGGCTGTGCTGCTCTGTTTAACTGAAATGCTAAAAACAATATGTTGAATGTGTTCATACTAGTTAAAAAGAAAAAAAATAATATTTACCATAAGAAGAAAAAAAGGGGGAAACAAAAAATTCCACATTTCATAATGAATAAATGATGTAATGGAAGTCAAGGTACACCGTGTACACAAAGTGTTACGTTACCTTGACTGCGTTACATATGTATTTCTAATCCAAACGTGAAAAATTAGCTTCCTTGTCAATAATGATCTTTCGATATTCTGATCTGAGACACGTTTAATTTCTACCAGGAAGCACAAATCATTTATTTTATAAATGTGTATTCACATAAATATTTTACACATAATCAGCATATGTGATGATCAAAGTCTCAGAGTACACATAAGTGTAATAATAACAATATGTTCCTTAGGATTAATGAGATTTAAAAAAGGAAAAAAATTATTATAGTTGTATTTTTAGTGCACTATCCTTCGATAATCCGCGAGAAAAATGCTCAACGTCCATCATTTACAAATCTTTTAAAATAATGTGAAAAAAAAAAAGGTTAAATGTTTACATACGAGAAAAAAAAGAAAATACCTAGTTTATATTCTGAATACATTAACGGATTGACGATGAAACTGTGCTAATTATGCTTACGAAAATTGAATATCTCATTCACGACTCTCACGGAATGCCTACTTTTCGGCCTTACTCTTTTATAAAAGAACAAAGGAAAAAGTACTCTAAACATGCGTTTTAATATGTATAGGTATCGGATATTTATTCATTTCCATAGTAATATCCGTTGCATTCGTAAATAGAACAAAGAAAAATCGAGAATGTGCAATGGTATGTTTTTATGCTAATCAGTTATATAAGGGAAATATGCCGTCTTTTATTTTGTGTGATTGCGTTCGTCAATAGAGAATAGTATTACTACTTTTTAATCCTGTTTCTAACGTGGTTACTTTTGTAAATTGTATAACTGAAATCTGCGCTATGAAGAAAAAACACGGTCATACAAAATTAACCGCAAAAGATTCCAGTATAGAAAATGATTGTTACGGGATTCCGATGTTATTTTTGTACCTAAGTGATCTAAATGATCTGTGCGATATAAAAAATGTATTTATTGACTGGATCGCTTCGAGCAAACAAAAATATCAGAAAGTTATACGAACGAGTACGTTATATTACTATTATTATGTTTGTTAATATTATATTTCGATAAAATAGGTACAGTAGGCATTTAAAACTATAGAGAATTAATCCTGTCTATAAATTTTGAACTGTTTTTGTTATAAAATCGAACCACTTCGTCAAATAAAATTTGTTCCAAATCCATTCACGAAACATGTTCTTCTTTCAATCAAATATCCAATGTATTCGTAAATCAAAGAAATGTTTTTATTTGAGTGCAACTATGCTTATGGTTTACTGAAAAAATGTTTATTTCCGTGATATACATGAGAAGTCCATTCACACAGAACAGCTATATTGTACATAGTACGATATAGTTTTTCTACAGGCAGTAATAGGCGCAAGTCATACACACTTGCACAATCATTCTAATTCGCACGCACACACTGTAAAATCTGTAACGCGAATTACAACAACTGCTTATTCGATTACACGTAATGGAACATACAAAATAATTAATTAAAATAAATTAACGCGCAGAATCTTATCTGAAAACTAGAGAAGCTACTTCCAGTAACAAAATTCATTTCATTAGGTGTACCTTTCTTTATCGAGAAGATCCAGATGACTGTTATATGACAAATACACTACAGAGCAATACACAGAGTAAATCTCACAACAGTGTATTGTTTAGTTCCGATGAAACTTAGTGAATAACGAACGTTCGTCGATCAGTCTTTTATACTCGACGTATCAACGACGTATTAATCTCTGCAGCATTTGCATGAGACTGTGTTAATTCAGTCTAAATTAGGACGAATATAAGTACTGATCATATTTTAGTTAAAGCTCGTCCTTCAAATCATCATCTTCTCCACCAGTCGGTGGAACTCCACCACCTCCACCCTGATACAATTTTGCAATGATGGGTTGAACAATATCGGTAAGCTCTTTCTTTTGCTGTTTGTATTCTTCTGGATCAGTATCCGGGTGCTCTTCTAACCATTTAATCTTTTCTTCGATAGCTTCCTCCATTTTAGCCTTATCTGAATCGCTAACTTTTGAGCCAAGTTTCTCTTTATCGGCCAGTTGATTCTTCAAAGAGTACGCATACGATTCGAGTTCGTTACGTGCTTCTACTCGTTCTTTTAGTTTCTTATCGTCGTCTGCGAATTTCTCAGCGTCCTTTATCATTCTTTCAATGTCATCGGGAGCAAGCCGATTCTGATCATTGGTGATAACAATTTTTTCACGATTTCCAGTCCCTTTGTCTTCAGCAGATACTTGAAGAATACCGTTAGCATCGATCTCGAAGGTAACTTCAATTTGTGGTATTCCTCGAGGTGCTGGTGGAATACCAGTGAGGTCGAATTTACCAAGAATATGGTTATCTTTTGTCATTGGACGTTCACCTTCATATACTTGAATGGTTACAGTATGTTGGTTGTCCGACGCTGTGGAAAAGATTTGCGACTTTTTTGTTGGAATTACAGTGTTCCTGTAAACAAAACCAAATGTATGATTTATTTGAACAAATGATTCTAATATAAGTAAGAGCCCAGAAACACTTGCTTACCTTGGAATAAGCTTAGTCATCACACCTCCAACAGTTTCAATGCCCATAGTAAGTGGGTTAACATCTAAAAGTACAATGGCATCTGTGTCTTGCTCTCCAGAAAGTACACCTGCCTGTACAGCAGCACCATATGCAACAGCTTCATCAGGGTTTATCCCCCGAGACGGTTCTTTACCGCCAAAGAATTCCTTAACTAATTGTTGAACTTTCGGAATCCTAGTAGATCCTCCAACAAGTACAATTTCATGTACATCTTTTTTGTTCATGTCAGAATCTTCTAGAACTTTTTGTACAGGCTTTAAGGTACTACGGAAAAGATCCATATTCAACTCTTCAAATTTGGCACGTGTTAATGTCTCAGAGAAGTCTTCACCTTCAAAGAAAGACTCAATTTCGATCCTCACCTATAAAAAAACAAAAATACGTTAATTAACACTAAATCCTTTTCACATAAAACATGTATCAAAAATATAAAACATACTTGGTGGCTAACGCTGAGAGCCCTCTTAGCTTTCTCAACTTCGCGACGTAATTTTTGTAAAGCTCTGCTATCTTTACGAATATCCTTGCCCTTCTTTTTCTTATATAGTTTCATGAAATGGTCCATTACACGTTGATCGAAGTCTTCACCACCCAAATGAGTGTTACCGTTTGTTGCCACAACTTCAAATACTCCATTATCAATGGTCAGTAAACTAACATCAAAAGTACCACCACCCAAATCAAAGACCAACACATTCTTTTCTCCATCTTTTTTATCCAAACCATAAGCAATTGCAGCAGCTGTTGGTTCATTAATTATTCTCATAACAACAAGTCCAGAAATAGTGCCTGCATCTTTGGTAGCCTGCACAAAGATGAAAAATTTATTAATAAATGTTCTCACAATTAAATGGTAGTTATTTTATAAAACTATATATCTCATATTTACTTGTCTTTGTGCATCATTGAAATAAGCTGGTACAGTGACAACAGCATGAGTAACTTTTTTTCCTAAATATGCTTCTGCTGTTTCCTTCATTTTACCAAGTACCATAGCAGAGATTTCTTCAGGTGCAAATACTTTTTCTTCTCCATTAAGCACCATTTTTATATGCGGTTTGCTATTTTTTTCAATTACTTTAAATGGAAAGAACTTAATATCACGCTGCACATCAGGGTCTGACCACTCTCTACCAATTAATCTTTTGGCATCAAAAACTGTATTTTCTGGATTTGTAGTCAATTGATTCTTTGCAGCATCCCCAATTAAACGTTCACCATCAACGGTGAATGCTACATATGAAGGTGTAATTCTATTTCCTTGATCATTGGCTATAATTTCTGCTCTTCCATTTTTATAAACACCAACACTGAAATAATTCATCAGTTTTAGAAATTTTTATTTATTAACTACGTATATCTATTGGGACTATATGCCATTTTAATTTATTTACCAAGAATATGTTGTACCCAGATCAATTCCAATGACAGTTCCAATATCTGCCTTTGCTATTTCTTCCTTTGCAAAAGCAAAGGCCACTATCGAGCCTAGTAAAAGAAGAGCTCTAGCTCCCTTCATTTTTCTTCATATAAATACAGTCCTGAAAAGTAAATATACATTTATTGAAATTTCTTTAAATATTCAAGGTTTTTAATCCATAAAATTTGATATAATATGCTCAATTTTTTAGAAACGTTGCAAGCAATATGAGTTCCTCACATAGAAATTTCTAGTATCGACACAAAGTATCGAGAGTTATCATATAAAATTTATCAGAGTATTACATAAAATCTTAAATGATATAAAAACATAATATTGTTATTTGTAAAAGCGACTAACGAGAACAATAAATTACACATAAAGTATCTTTTATTTATAATCATTTAATTTCGACGAACATATTTCCGATACATATCGTAGGGCACAAAACACCTACATACAACGTATTCTTCTGGGTTATGATAAAAATCCACGACTGACATAAAAATTGCATTCAGTGCATTTTTCAGATCTTTAATGAAAGACAATTAACTTAAAAAAATATATAAATTACAGTCTCGCAGCAAGACGTGGCAAGTAGCTAAATATTCTGGATGTTCTATAAAGTTGTACGTATAATACTATTCTTAATTTATCGTTATTGATTTAACTAAGTAATTCTTTATTACTTTACTACTTACCAGATCAAATATTATATGTACACTCCTCTTTTTTCTAAGTAAAAACTTTAGTAATTTCAGTACAACTTCAACGAACAACAGGAACAACTAAGAATGACTGACTACAAACCAATCTCAGGACACAGATATAAACGAAGTGACTTCGTCGTGGCCTGCGTTGATTGGTTTCAGAGTATCCGTACCAAGGGAAAGGCGCACGCTAGTTGGATGAGCTACATACAGTTGGCTGCTATCGATAGGCCCACGTCACAAATATACCGTACTTCTGGAAATTTCGACTACTCTTACCATTGGAGGAATCAATGCTAAGGGAGAGTCATGTAACACGTGAAAATAATTTCGCCCACTTGTTGTCATTATCGCTTGTAACAAAATGTATACGGTTACTCACAAAGTTAAGTGTACACCTATCTTAGCAATGAATATTGGAGGAAAAATGAACACAAACACACATATTCAAAAGTAAAAATACAATATATATTTTATTCGTATATTATAGCAAGTAATCCGTAAAAAAGTTTTTAAATAAAACGAATCATTTAAATGTAATATAAATATAAATTATACAATAATATAATTTATAGAGTAAATATAATTTTACAATAACATTTCGCATTGAAATGTCAGTCTGTACTCTTTTATTTGCAATGTTTCTACTGTTGATGATTTACGATCCTCGATTGATGATTTACAGATAACAGATCGTGTTTTATTTTTGCTTGCTTAACAAATGAACTTTGAAAAATATTTCACGGGATTTCTTCTTCAATAGTACCAACATTTGACCAATACAAATCTGTATAATTTAAAAATCCCTACGTGTACGTTCAATTTTGTGTTACGAAAATAAATCTAATTTTACATTTTTATTAAATATAAACAAATGATTCGTTTTACTTAAAAACTTTTTCACAGATTATTTGCTGCAATATACGAATAAAATATACATATATTGTGTTTTTACTTTTGAATATGTGTGTTTGTATTCATCTTTCCGCCAATTTTCATTGCCAGCATAGGTGTATGCTCAATTTCGTGAAAAACTATATTTTTACATATACAAAAGCTATTATCGTATCCGTTTCTTATTGATTTATCGATTTAGTGATACCATATTTACCAAAATCTTATGTACTGTCTATAAATATGCATATATTCCTATAATTTTTGTTTTAATTTATTTAAAAGAAAAATATGACTTTTGTACTAAAAGTATTGTTAATTCATTAAAAAAATAATTATTCATTACGATTAATTTATTATCTACGGTAAAAAGCACGAAGAAAAAAGTTAGATCATTCTTTTTAAAAACCAATGATTTCGAATCCTATACTTCTGATGCAATATAATAGAATCTAACGGGATCTGCTTCCTGTTTCAGTTAAAAAGGTAAATCATTTCTCTTTATTTCATACTCCATTTTTATTGAATTTTTTATATATGTAATTTTTTATATCTCCACATAGTATATGTAAAATAATAAACAGAACAAGTGTACAAATATATTTGCTTTATTTACCACACAAACAGTACCATATTTTAACCATATATATATATATATACATTAGCATACATATATATATATGCTAATAATAATATATGCTAACAATATTGGTAATATTATTACTTGGGATAGATACACACACACTCACATATATCCCCAGTAACAATATTACTAATATTATTAGCATTTACTTTTTGGTTGCAACATATCTAAAATTAATGGTGTGAAATATGTTATAATGCAATCAGCTCCTGCTCTTCTCATTGATAAAAGAACTTCATTCAAAACATTCTTTAAATTTATTGCGCCATTTTGTGCACCATGATAAAGCATAGCATATTCTCCTGACACCTGATATACAAACATTGGATATTCTGGATGTGCATCTTTTGTCTGTCTAACAACATCCAAATAAGGTAAACCTGGTTTTACCATCAGCATATCAGCTCCTTCAGAAACATCCCTAGCCTTTAAAGAAAAGTATTAAAAAGAAAAAATATATTTATTCCAGAAAGTAGCAGTTCAAGAAATAAAACAAGAATAATACTAACAGCTGCTCTAGCTGCTAATCCATTACTTCCTGGAGGTAATTGATAACATTTTCTATCTCCAAACTTAGGTGCAGACTGTGAAGCATCTCTAAAAGGTCCATAGAATCCTGATGCAAATTTCACAGCATAAGACAAAACTGCAACTTTATTTACCAATCCAGTTTCTATTAATTTCTTTTTTATTGCTCCTATTCTTCCATCCATCATATCAGATGGGGCCACAATTTGAGCTCCTTTATAAAAAAAATGAAAAACATTTATTGCTAATATCATACATTTAAAATAAGGATAATCTTACCAACTTTTGCATATGCAAGAGCAACTTCTGAAATTCGTTCAATGCTAGCTTTATTATTTATGCTTCCATCTTCATTTAAAATTCCACAATGCCCATGAATGGTATAAGGGCATAAACAAACATCACATGCTATTAATAAGTTTGGAAACCATTGTCTTATCAATGGTACAGTTTGAATAATAGGATTTTGTACACTGTCTGCATTGCTTCCAATGTGATCCTATTAAAAAGACAATGATTGAAAGAAATTATTGTTAAATTTTCATTAAAAATAATTTACCTTTTTCAAGTGTTTTGATACTCCAAATAATAATATTGATTGTAATCCTTTTGATACCAGTGGTTGTAGCAGTTTTCGCACATGATTAATGCCATAGCGAAAAACACCTGGCATGCTAGCAATTGCTTCTTTAGCATCTTGTTCATCTCTGGAAACATATACTTTTCATTGTAAGAGATGTTATATAAATTCTTAATTGAATGCTAAATTTGTTTCTTCATTTGTAAAAATTTTAAAGAATTACATTCTTTGAAGATGATATATTACTTTTATGATCTGTTCAACTATTATGTAACATAAAAAATTATTTGTTAAAATATCAAGTTAATGTAACCGTTTCTTGCACTTTATTTATTGGTTAAAAATAAAACCAAGTATACTTCGTTACTTATTGCCATGTCTAGATATATGAATAAAAATAATTAAAGCGGCAAATTATGAATTCTACTTACGAGATAAAAATTGGATACATAAGATTATTAACTGTTATTTCCACATTTGGAGACTGCCATTGTCGTAAAACAGGATGAAAAATACCACTGTGAAGATTATGTTTTGCATCTACTGTATTTATCATGTTAAATAAATACTATATTCTTTATGTGTTCAGTTCAGTCTTTTCCTTTGTCACTATTTCTTCCGCTTAATTAGCCTATACCTTGACTTTTTTATTGCCAACTTGGCCAATATCCGGGCATGCTGGTATCCTGTATTTGTATCTTTCTTAAAGTCACTTTCTATTAATTTTTATCCACAAAAAATCAGTAAATAATAACTTGAATAACTGAACAATAGCTTATTATTAAACAT